TACTTGAACTCTGTTACAAGTTCAATTTTATTGTCGTTGATTTTCAATAGGCAGGAGTATATATTGAGTTGTTTCTATTTGTATGGTGTAGTTAGAATCATGGCTTTGGTTTTGGATGTATTTAATTTAAATTTTTTGACGATCAAGTACTCATTAATTTTTTCTAAAATAGAATTCATTTTAGTTACAGCTACACCTAGGCTTTTATGAGATATAGACAGCAGTGTATCATCAGCAAATAAATTCATAAAATCACAGTTGTGACGTAAGCCGATATCGTTAATGTAGATTAAAAACAATAAAGGACCCAATACACTACCGAGGTACACCAAATTTTGTGTCGATAGGATTTGAATAAATATTATTCTTTTTAGTGATTTGTTTTCGGTTATTTAGGTAGTCTTTAAACCATATCAGTACAGTTCCTTTTATTCCTATTGCTTCCATTTTTTTTACTAGTTAAGAGTCACACTTCAAATTATAACATTATTTTTGATTATATATTGGGAAGTGTATTTAGCTATTGAATTGGTTTTAATAAAGAATAAAAAATTCAAATGTTTGTATATATTCTCATAAAAATCATTATATTCGACACTGAAATCACCAAAAACTGAATACACGAAGAGACCTTCGATTTGCTTTTATTTTGCCTCAAGGGAACACCGCCCACATTAGGAGTGTGTATTATTTCTCTTTAGAGATTTAGAGAGTTTTGAAATATTTAATCATATTTTTCTCTTTTATAGAATAAAAGTGTATTGAACGATGCAAAATCTGAAATGGCTAAAAGTAGGAAAACTATTGAAGTGTGCCAAACAGACCTCAATAAGATGAAGGATGAAAACTCCCACCTACAAAATGATCTGAAGTATGAAAAGGAACAAAATGTCAAATTGAATGGTGAGAAAAAGAAGTTGATGAGTGAACTTGATGGTTTCCAAACTCGAGAAGTGAGTAATTCAGTAACTTTTATTATCTATTGTTCTTTCCTATATGATTATCTATGAATTGATTGTGAAAATGAAGGTCTTGTTGTGGATCATACCCTAGAACAAAACTAACGCCGGCCGCCGCTGGTCGTCATAAATCAATTGTGACGTCACCAAGACCGCGCTCCAAATACTATATCAGCTCCGGGGTATTTCGATTGCCATATATAAATGCTACTCACGTGCATATCCGAGATAGACAAGTTCAGCGGACAGTGCGCTACAGAGCGATCTAATAAGGCGCCGGAGGGTAGCAACCTGTAAGAGTCCCTTGTCCAGGGATACGGATAGAAATTCTGAGGAATCATATGATCATGGTGTGGTAGGTTATTACCAGCCTCCGAGGGTGACACTACCGTCATGACGAGGCAAGATATCATCGTAGCACAGAAGGAGGATCCGGTCTGGAAAACAAACAGAATGGATTGAGTAAGGAGTAAGACGGGAACGGCAAGAGGTTTTCAAGCACGGCCAGCTGGTAAAGGGTTACTGTCTCCAATTGGACTCCATGTGCATTCGAGATGACCTACTCACCCAAAAATGGTAAAGCCTGGATGGAAAAATCCACAAATTCCAGATGATCCTCCCAAAGATGTGTATCCAGAATATACTGAAACACCTCCACGATGGTCGCAATGGAGGGCATTTTGGAGTAAATAGAACTATAGCGAGAGTGTGTGAAGGTGTGAGCGCTGTGACCTATGCTCTTCAAAAAAGGGTTCGAAGACAAGGCAAAAACGAAAGTTACAGTCCGATGGAATGGTCTAGAGGCATAAACACCTCTCGGTGTTTGTCTCCAAAAACCAAAGAGACTGGGATACATTGGTTCCTCTCTTTCTGTTGGCAAACAGGAGCTCTCAATATGATGTGACTGGTTACACACCATCCATGTTGTTAACTGGTCGAGAACTGAAGTTCCAGATAGAAGTATAGATGTAATGTGTGGCAGTCCATCCGATGAATAGAGGTAACTCTTTCAGAGTATGTAAATGACCTGAAGGAGAGACTGGAACTTGACGCAAATTTAACAGATCTAAATTACAGCTCTCCAACGACAAGATGAAAATAAGATTTGACAAAAAATCGCTGCCGACGTGCTTCAAAGAGGGCGATGCAGTATGGCTCTACCAACCCCAACGTCGGAAAGGTTTGTGTTCCAAATTGCACAGAGCATAGCAAGGACCTTACGTGGTAACCAAAAAAATAAACGATCCGGTGTACAGAATCCAATTGTCACCAAGAAGTAAGACCAAAGTTGTCCATATAAAGAGACTGAGTCCTTACATGGGTCGTGATGTCCCCTCTTGGAATGTTGTTCGGGGCGAACAACCGCAGAGAAGGGGGTAGTGTTGTAAATCATCCCCCAATAAAACTAACGCCGACCACCGCTGCTCGTCATAAATCAATGGTGAAGTGACCAATACCGTGCTCACCTGTACGTTTTCTTGCTACCATTCTTGGTGTCGCGACGCTTTGAAAATAATTCTACCATCTTCGATGGACTTCTGGTGAATGCCATATCGGCTTCGAGGTATTTCGATTGCCATATATTAACGCTACCCACGTGCATATCCGAGATAGTCAAGTTTAGCGGACACTGCAGTACAGAGCGATCTAATAAGATGATAGACATTTGAATATCAGTTGAAGTTTTAGTTAAAGTGTTTGGTTGTATTAATAGTGTAATAAAGTTAAGTTTGATTATTGTACGGTATGTGATCAATTATTGTCATACCCACGGAGAAATCGTAACCGTATAATGGATTGAACCAATTTCAAAATACTAACTATTTTATTGTCGAAATATGTACGAGTTTATTTGTCTCACTGCTGGGATATTGAATGTTTTATATTGAATACCATCAAAACAAGCACTGCACCCAAAAACCAAGACTGTAACCCACTTTTGGGTGCACATTTCTTCAACCATGTTACCATCCTCAGGAAAAGGTCTACTTCATCCTCTGAAGACGCCAAATGGTTGGTAAACGCTAGTTGAGAAGAGTGTTGCAGTTCTGGTGTTTGGGTGCAGTGCTTGCTTTGGATTCATTCTATGCCAGTGGTTCCATTTCTAAATTGCAATTGAAAACCATTGGCCAATGGGGAATGTTCCTCAATTTGGGTTATTACAGCAAATGCAAGTTTGAACAAAATAAAGTTGAGTTCAATTCATGAGTTTTTCAAATTTTTTTAAAGAAAAAGGTTGAAATGATAAGTTGCGTTGTTTTAGAGCTCTTTTATGAAAACAACTTGATTTTCGTCAGGAGGAACATTCCCCATTGATCATTTATTATTGTTATGAACGACCCACAAACTATCCAAGAAGTTGATCCCATTACCTACTCATTACCTAATGATCTGACTCAACTTGTGACTATTTGGCAGATAAAGTAAATGTAATAATTCACATATACAGGATGGAGTGCATTAGATAACTTTTTATCACCTCAATATATTTGCGGTGTTTTTTTAGTGTCCAATCAGCATCCGTGTTATATCTAGAATTATTTGTAACTAGCGACCCGCCTCTGCTCCGCACGGGTGCAATGTTGATACTAAATATAAATTCACCCACCAGGAATTTAAGGGCATAGGGAAACAGCGATGAAAAGATAATTTTGTTTTATGGACGCTCCTGCGGCTGGGCCTCAGCTCAGCACGGGTGCAGTGTTGATTCTCAATATAAATTCACCCACCAGAAATTTAAAGGCATAGGGAAACAGTAATGAAAAGATAATTTTGTTTTATGGACACTCCTTTTTCCCCCGAGGCTGGCGCCCCAGTTGGAATATTCAAAAATTCTTTCTTATTGTACATATACAATATAAAACGAACCTACATACAGAATTTCAGCTTCCGAAAATATAGCGGCACGAAGAAACAGTGATGAAGGGCGTACTGGTAAGTCCTAGCAAAAACGGTATGCTGAACATGAAAGGTCTTTCAGACTAGGAAAAAAGGAAAAAATGATTCGACGTTTTCAAACCATTCCTTGGCATGCAACCATAAGTTCCCGAATCTAAACGATGCGGAAATTTTGTACTATGCAAGGAAGGGTTACAAACTCAATTATTTAGAATCCTTGGAAATTCACATGCATAAACATTGCGGGGGCAACCTGGTAAATGATCAAATCGATTTAGTTTACTCACCGGTTTTCAAATTAGCACATCCGCATTGTGAATTGTAAATTCAGGTACTCAATCAAGCCAAGTACCTCTATTATTACCTACAGGGGTGGTATATAAATGCTAATGTAATAAACCATTGTTAGTTTAATGTATAAGTTTGAAAATGGCCTTATAAGATGAAACTGCAGTAACGTTAGTTACAAATAAAAGTGGTAAAAAACATAGAAAGTTTCAATTCTCTTTTCTTCATTATGATTTCCTACCACGTAGTAACGGCTACATCCATCAATTTATTTAAACAAAATGTTATTACATTTTATGTCAGTGCTTCAGTTTCAATTAAAAGATATGGATAATATAAGACTTGTAATGATAATTTAAACTCAGATAGCAAATTTCTGAGATTGGTCAATTTGTAATTATATAATGATGAAGTGGAACTCAAAATTGTAGAAAAAAGAACGGTTTATACGTTGGGGGTTCGATTGAATAAATTGGCCAGTTTCTATATGAATTCTCTTGTTACTCTTCATTGACTTGAAAATAAATTGTTGAAAAGAATTGATTCATTTTGCTCAATTTATTTTGTATTCATCATCGCTCTGGTCAAATGTGCGAGGTTTGTTTAAAAAATAAGGTGAACTTTAATTTTTCTCAAGAAATATTTATTTATTCATTAATTTCTATTTTGTCATCTTCACCAGTTCTGATATGCACTTTTTGGTATGTCTTTGAGGTTTCTCAGTGATTTGGTTTTTATTTCCTCAATCGTCGCAAAACGCCATCCTTTCATGAGTTTTTTCAATCTTAGGAACAAAAATAAGCCGCAGGGGGGCAAATATGGTGAATACGGTGGCTGAGGCATGATAACGGTGTTGTTATTGGACAAAAATTACGAACAATTAATGACTAGTAAGCAGGTGCATTGTTGTGATGCAAAAGCATGAATTGTTTGTCCACAATACTGGACGTTTTCTTCGTATTACTTCTCGCAAGCGGCACATAACGTCAAGAAAATACTCCTCATAATAATAATAATAAGCTAATAAGCCTGATGTAGTCCTTCTCGACCACCAGACCAAAACGATATTTGTCGTGGAGTTTTCAGCTCCTGGCGAGACGAATATCGTCAGAAAAGAGGAGGAAAAACGGATAAAATATCGAGATTTTCTCTTCGAACTCCGCAGACTTTATCCTGATCACTCTGTCAAGATGGATGTTCTGATTATTGGAGTCCTTGGTGGAATGATGTCCTCCCTACTCTCGAATCTTAAAATCATACAGGCTTGCCGCACTAAGGCAGAAATCTTAGCCGCACAGATGCAGAAGGCTGTCATTCTTGGCTCACTGCGCTTGCTCAGAGCACATGATTCTCGGATCCAATGATCACTTACCCCACGGTGTGGGGAGTGGTCATTGGTTGATAATGCTGGCGCGCCCTCCCGAATGTATCGGAGCTTCGGTAGATAGGGCCTGACCAGCGCATACTACGGTGAAAAAAAAAGTGAATTAATTTATTGACAGCAGAAATAACATGATACAATATGGATAAAAGAAAACAAATTTGTCAATAGGATACATGATTGAACAGATAAAAAACAAAAAAAACAGAGGGCCTAAATTTTAATTGTGATAGCGGGTGTTCTTTCAGGCAGTGCCTGAAACTGGAAACAGATTTCGACCTTAAGGAAGGTGGTAGGTTGTTATATAATTCAGCTATTGTATATGTGAATAACCTTTTGAATAGTTCAATGGAGTGTCTAACAACAATGATATTTTCGCTTTGCTGTACAGAGTCAGGGGTAAAAGAATAATACAACTTTGTATCATTTGCATACATATGGTATTTGAGTTTTTTCAAACAGTTTGTCAAATGGGAGGTGTAAATTATGTAGAGGATAGGTCCAAGGATTGCACCTTGTGTGAGACACCCGAAAAAGTATTCTTGAAATCTGACATGCGGTTCTTCACTCTAACAATTTGTTGTCTATGTGAAAGATATGATTCGAAAAATTTCAAAGTTCTTTGAGAAAGTCCATTATAATGTAATATAGATCGAAGTAGTTGATGATTCAAGGTATCAAAAGCTTTGCTAAAGTTGATCAATACTAGGACAGTGATTTCGCCTCTATCCGATACTGTGACGATATCATCTGATCTATAGTTTGGTCTGAAACCAGATTGCATAATTGGAAGTACATTATTGTTTTGAAGGTAGTTCCTCAATTGTTAAGCAATACCCTTTTTCAAAATTTTAGAAAGAAGTGGAAGAAGACTTATAGGATGCAAGTCTTTGAATTCCTTAGGTTCTTAATTTTGGGTATTGGTGCCACGATAGACTGCTTCCACATACTTGCGAAGACTTTCTTCTCCAAGCAACAGTTCATAATATGTAAAATATCGGGTACTATAGATGGACAGTTGAGGTTTAAAAAAATTATCGAGATCATCTAATCCTTTTGATCTACTTTTGATTTGTGACATGAAGGTTAACAATTCATTTTCGGTGATCAATGTCAATTCAAGAAGTGATGTGATGGAATCATTCACATTATTACTGTAAAATTGTTCCAGATTTGGGTTAACCTTATTACACCGTTGTGGCGAAGCAACAATAAAATCATTCATGAAAAACTAATCAATACAGTTTATTATATGATTTTCACAATAATGGGTTCACTATAAAGGGTTTTTGCAAAATCACACAATAAACTGTATTGATTAGTTTTTTAATATGGATTTTCATCAGGTATCGGCCAGTTCTATTCAAGATCATTTATGTTGTGAGGATCACATAAATTGGCGGGAAGATTCAATATACGTTTTTTATTTTGAATATCTAGTTTTTTTAGTTTTAACCAAGGATCTTCAGAGTTATTATGATTTTCATTAGAGGCGATGTATTCGAGATAAGCCTTCTTTTCTCGCTCAATGGAAGATTTAGTAAAAATCTTATCGGTTTTTCTGAATTTATTTCTGGCTTTATCATTTATTTTCTTCCTAAGCTTTAAATTGCCTGTTATCCATGGTGTAAAGGTTTGATAAAATTTCTTGTGACATTGGTGCATGATTATTGAACAACGTGTGAATTTGAAAACAAAAAAAACTTATTTTTTCATCAATGTTCTCTGAAAGATACAAGGGATCCCAGCAAATTGATTCTAACTCATTTGTAAAATGAACATAGTTGAAATTTTTAAATTTTCGGACTGTAAGACCATGTGAAAAGAACTCCTGACGAACTACGCCACGGCAATCGAAGAAAACATTGAGGAAAACCTTGACGTTGGCGTGCTTTTTTGGTCTTTGTTCTCCTGGGTCCTTCCATTGGGACGATTGGTCTCTGGTTTCGATGTCATAACCATATATCCATGATTCGTCACTAGTTATGACCCTTTCAAGCAAATCTGGATCGCCGTTGACGTCATTTAACAATTCCTGAGCGATGCTCATGCGACGGTTTTTTAGTCAAAATTAACAGAAATTCGCCGAACACGCAAAACACTTACATCTTCTATGCCTCTCACCACCAGACTAAACATGCTAAATATCTGAAACTGTGAACATATGTTTGAGACGAGTGAAGCAACATAAAAAATGCTAATCGATTGTACGTAGTCTGCGAAATTTTAACATTTACCTTATTTTTTGAACATACCTCGTATTTTTGTCTTTTCAGTCCCAGTTGGTATGTTTGTTTCGATTAATATTTATTTGAGTGTTCACTGCACCTTCTCATTTGTGTATTATTATAATTATCAGAGATTGGAACTTTTGCTTCAAGTTAGGTATGTAAATAGAGTTTGTTTCATGAATGTTCATTTAATCAGAAATATAGTTTCTTGGACTCTAATGCCCTCTTCCAAGGCTGTAGTCAGAAAACAATTTCGGGGGGTTTGGTTGGGTGGAACAGTAGAAAAACATAAAATATAAAAATAACGAAAGAAAGAAAATGGTGTTACATGAAAATATATATTTTAGAAAACCATTACAGAAATATTAACTTTTTCAAAAACATATTTAGTTTTCTAGCTTTCCTTGCAGCAAAGAAATCAATTACCTCCTCGGTGTCAATTCCACGGTGGATTGACATTAACGCCAAACCGTTTAGTCGTTCCTGGCTTGTGGAGTTTCTTAAATAAGTTGTGAGGCATTTCAGAGAAGGGAAACTCCTTTCAGGGGTACATGTGGAAACAGGTAGTGTCGCCAAGATTTTAAAAGTTTGTACGCACAGTGCCATAAGATTTTTCCATTGTGTTTCGGGAAAGTTTTTTTCAATATTCTCTTTCAAGTACTTGGTTCGTTTTGCCAAGGACTTGATAAAATTTCTAACGGATTTTATAATTCCAATAGTATCTGTATCTGTAGAGTAGGGAGGGTGAGTGTAAGCCCACAGCACTTAGGCCACATGTGACTCATTGTGTATCCTTTCGAGGAGTTGTACGTCTAGGTCATCGTCCATCCTGTCATTTCCAGAAAGGTGGACAGGTCACTAGGAGACATCTCCTTTATATCGGCAGGTGCAGGCCAAGACTCTCCGAACAAACACTCTCTTATTGACGATAACTCCGGACACTCACATAGGACATGCCTGACTGTTTCATCTTCCTGTTCACACATCCTGCATAGAGGTGTGTCCACTAGCCCTATATTATGGAGGTGTTTTCTTAGTTGACAGTGGCCAGTCAGAATTCCTACTGTTAAGCGTAGATTTTTTCTGATAATCGCCAGATATTTCTTCCCAGGGTCGCCCAGGTGATCCTGGCAATATTGCATCCTTTGACTCCATCCCATCTCTTTAGGGATTGAGCTATTTTGGCAAGTTCCGCAATTGTCGAAGTCATCGGCCGTATGTACCACTGGGTTCTAAAACTCTTAGTCCAGCCGCTTCTTTGGCTAAAGAGTCGTCAATGCGATTACCTTCACTCCTGTCGTTCCCTTTAATCCACTTCAGGATAATGTTGTTATCTACTGAGGCTTTGGCTAAATCTTGGTGGCACTCTATCACTAGCCCCGAAGTAACACGTTGTCTGCTCAAGGCTAATAGGGCTATCAGTGCAGATTGTTACGTTTTTGTGGCAATTGAGATACCAGCCAGTTCTGTTTGAACCACGCTGGTATTTTTTCCCATTCCTCACTTAATCCTTAGGTTTAGTGATCTGGAGTACACTACACATCCTGAGCCTTCTTTGGTTTTTGAGCCTTCTGTATATATGCGTTTAGCATTTGTAGCATCTGACTTTGTGTTCTGTTTTTTTTTTGTATTTTGTAGAGTTTATTAAACACAAACCTGGGTTCAGTTGCATCACTGGTTGCCTGCAGCAGAGGTTGCGCAGTGAGCGCTTCTTGCCATAGGCTCAGCCTCAATTGACCCATTCCTACTTCGAGGTTTACACCAGCCGTGCGCAATCATAACATGGCCATTAACGCAACCTCCTTAACGTACAGGTCCAGAGGGGACAGACCAGTAATTAATTCCATTGCCGCGATTGGTGTTGTTCTCATGGCTCCTGTAATGTTCAAACAAGACAATCTATGTATTTGATATAATTTTTGGATGGCTGTTGCTTGTAGAACTTTCAGGGGGATCAATCCCCCTCGACCCCCCCCTGGCTACGGCCTTGCCCTCTTCTATGTATATTACTTTCGTTAAACTTGTATATATGTGGTTTACACACACAGGCATAGATCAACTTTTTTAATTTCAGAATGAATTGAAAGCAGAATTATCTAGAGTTAAAAAAGAAATGGAGAATAATAAAATGGAATTGAGGCATTTTTATCAAGGACAGGTAGAGATTTTAGTTCAAAATAAATTGAAAGAATTTCAGAGTCAGTTAGATCAAGCGCAAGCCAGTTTCAAAGAAGATATTAAGAAGCGTGAACTGTCCATCGCCAAAACAGCTGCAACACATATTCAACAAATATCCGAAAAGTAAAAGTAATTTTCAGTTGGTAATACTTTACTGTGACTGATTAATTTATTTTCAGAAACTCCCTTGAAATAAAACTCTTGGAGAAGAAACATCATGAAGAAATAAAATTACTTCAGTTTCAAATAGTTCAACACAAACAACAAGCAGATATCTTACAGAATAAGTTCGAACAACTTCAAGAAAAAAGATTGCAGATTGCTAAACAACTTCAAAAAGTTATGGAATCTCAGTGGACAGAAACCTTCAGAATAATTGCTAGTGGAAAAAGCCCCACTCTCAATGATGAAACTACTTTCAGTACAGTCGATCAATTGAACTCTCTTAAAACAAGATCATATAGTAATGTAGAGGAAGTGTTGGCCCAGCAGCATGAAGAACAATTCAATATTATAAAAAGACGTGACAGACGAGAAAACAGTGTTTTTGGCAATGGATATAATGAGAAAGTCCTTCAGGATGCGGTTGTATGTATGGATGAAACTCCTGTAAGCAGTAGGACAAAAGATATGGAGGCACCTGTGGTATCCAGTAAAATAAAAGGGAACCAGTTCAGTGAAAATGATATACAAAAATACATCCATTTGGTGAGTAATTCAGATATTTGTTGTGAATGAATTTATGATTATTGAAATTGTGAAAGTATAACAATCCTTTATATAACTATATTGAAACTGATTCGGTAAAGCACTGGAAACATACAGGGAAACAACTTGAATCAAATTGTATCAAATTCTCATTTGGGATTTTCTATAGATCAACACTTTTCAGAAAATCGATCCATTATGGAAAGTCAAAACTTGTCTGACTCTGATAGAAACACTCCTGTGTTCAATTTCATAATTGGAGGATTTGGGAGAGAAAGGTTTTGTCTTTTCACTTCTCCATCTTTATTAAAAAAAATATGAGTTTGTTTAAGAGTGAACTTCAGCATATTGTCAATGTACAAACTCAAAAATGAAACATTGTATTTATTCAAAAGTGTAAATACATAAAAATAATAAATAATTCATAACTATATTTTTTTGATAAATTTTTTAATAGCATGAATATTAATTGTATAACTATTCAATTTTCATTAGACCTTAGGAATGTACTTTTTCAAAATTCAATATTCAATATTCCTAGCCATATCGCTGAGGATTTTCAACATCTGTTCTGTCTTCAGGATACAATTTTAACCAATATAGTCATATTCCTTTCATATCATATAAACAACAATATATGAACAACATAATCATTTTGACAAAAATAGGTGAATGATGGTAAATTGATAACAGCAAAAATGAGTGCTTACTTCTGCAAAGCAGTTGCTTCAAAAAATGGTTTTGAAAGTCAACTGAATACCACTAATAAAAACCATGTAGACCTCATTAACAAAGAAAAAAATAGCACCATCAGTACCATACTACTATGAAAATAGGATTATTTTCATTACTTCCTTCAAGTGTTTTACGGTTTGTTAAAATTGAAATAGATCTGAAATTGGAATAATTTCCTTCATGAAATACCAAAACAACAGTCTTTTTCAAGTCATCAAGAAAGGAAGGTTATGTAAAAGTCATTTAGTTACTCTACTAACTCTAACTGATATATTTATCATTTTTAAATTTTTTTGATCTCATGGTGATATAGGGTAGTGATGTGTGAGAAGATAACTCGGGCCAGATAGTGATACGAGGATAGCTGTCATATATTCATTTCTCCCATAATTTGTTCTAAGCCCATTTTTCTATGACAGTTTTATTCTATTTTTGTATCAATTGATTTTTGGTGAGGATATTTAGGTTCTCATAGATATTCCTATATGCTTTGAAGTATGTTTGAAGGTGGTTGACAAAGTTTCGTGGTTACTGTCATTTTCCAATTTCTGAAATGATTTAAATTGATACACGGACTGAATATATGTTTAACTTTCACAGGAACCCATGTCATGGTATTGGTTGTTTCTTATTTGAAAATCTATGATAAATTTATGTAACAACCCTTTATTATGAGATTTTCACTCAACAGTTTACAAAACTCCAATAAGGGTTTCACACTGAGTACGAGTATAATAGCTTCTATCCTAAACTAAACTTTTCATAGTGCTACTCAATTGAAAAATATATTTTGGTTTTAACAATTCTAATCAACCCGTAGTCCTTACTTCCAAGCAATTTTTCAATTTCATCATTAGGAAACGAATTCAACAGATGAGAATTATTCAACTCTATTTGGTCACTAAGCAGTTCTTCTGAATTTTTGGATGAATGTATTGCCAAGTATTCTAAAAGATGAAGATTTTTCCCTTTCACTATCATACATCAGTCATGACTGAACTCAGGTCTCTCTACCAGTAGATGGCTTGCAATTGTCGAATTCATATTCTCATTAAAAAACTATTTCAATGCTAATTCATACTAGGTCAAGTCGTAACTTCTAGATCATTAGGTGTATCAAAATGAGATTTGATATATGTGGATGTTAGGTGGAGATGAAAGTTTTTCACTTTTGGATCACTTACGGTAACGGCTCTGTATATTTTAACATTTTTGAATGTCTGAGATATTTCTGTATTAAAATGTAACATTTTGTTTGTTTACAGTTTGTATGCTTACTTAATGTTTTTAGTTACTTTTAGTATTGCATCTAAGTGGCAATGGTCAGACGTAAACTAATCTAAAGACCTCGAGTAATGTCAGAAAGTTGCAAACGCAAATTTTTTAGGGACTAGTATGATAGATTGAAATGGAAGAAGTTGGTAACATAACATTTTCATGTCCTAACAATAACGGGGCTGGTTCGTTCTAAACAATTATTGAATTAGTAGTGTTACAAGGTAACTACTACATATACTATTCATGTTTTCTTACAACACGGGTTGGACGTTACGCAGTGAAGATGAATCGTCTGGTTGTAGGACTCTAACCACTGTTCCACACAAGGGCCGATCGAACATGTATTTCTCACGCTAATCAACCAGCGACCGTCCCTCCAAAAGAAAGGTCTACTGTGCAAAAGCCCCAGACACTCTTGAAACCTCAGAAAGAATAATTTCACGGGCAATTTAAAGTGTAACGCCTAAGGTGCTATCAAACGTTTTGATAAAATTAGTTGAAAGAGCTTAAATGTGTCTTGAGGAGTTCACTTTTGAATAATTTGAGTGCATCTTTGAAGTTCAGTTTAGTTAATTTTCCTAGTTTTGTTGGCTCGTTAATTTTTAAAGTTTTGTTAAATTTCATAATACAATTACAAATAGATTTACTAAAAAATTATCGACTAGTCACCGAAAGTTCACGATTGTAATTTTATGACATCACCTAAGGTCCCCAGACTAGTTTACATCTGATCATGGCCAGCTGGATTCAATGTTTAATATTCCCACCTGGGAGCCGTCTAACTTGTCCATTTCTTCCAAGTCTCAGTGAACCACTGCAGCCTCATAGGCTTATTGTGTTCTTTCCCCAACAATTTTGTTTCCTGTGCAAGTTTGTACAGGTCCGTTGCGGGATGCCATATCCGGTGAAACAGGGAAGTAAAAAATATGTGAAAACTCTCATCTTCATATACCATTTACCTTAACCAAATCTCATTTTGATACACCTAATAGTCTAGAAGTTATGAGTTGTCTAGTAGATTCGTTGACACCCGGTATTCTTCGGACATAAAATATGACGAGCTGTTTCTGTCCCTTTGTTGTATTTGACCTTAGATAAGGTCTGTTGTACAGCCCCATTTTGTTCAGTTGTCCTCTTGATGAGCAATTTTCAGCGAGTAATTGTTCTGAACCGATTCCTGTTTTGTTGAAGCAGTTCTCTTCTCGGCCGGTCCCTTCATAAATGTTTTCACATGTGTCCAGGTTATTTTCCCAGTACTCTTTAATATTTTTCATAGATTTGTCAATTTGGTTCCATACCAAAGATTTTGGTACTCCCACAGCTGGTTCAGGCCACATATTTGGAGTGGAGGGTCCGTGTCTGGTTCACTCATCAGCTTTTTCAATGCCTGTTACCCAGTGACTAGTCAATCTATTCCCGTCCGTCAGTTTCCTCAGTTTTTCATGGCATTCCCAGACCAGTCTCAAAGTCACTTTTGGGTTCATGAGTGTCCTAAGTGCCACGTGGCTGTCTGTGAAAACATTGATGCTGGATGAGGCCTCAAATTGATGTTTCTTGCACATTGCAAGACTGTTTGCACTTTAGCCTGATTGACTGAAGTGTACTAGCCAATCGAGTAACATAAATGGAATTTTTTTTCCGCACAGTTGATTTCAGCTACCGATCTGTTTGTATTCCAAAATATGCAAGTTTTTGCATACTGCTTAGTTTGTTAATAGTGGTCGATTGAGCTCTGTTACGCCAGCGACGCAAAGTACGGAAATCGCATTTAGAAAATGCCAAAATTAGGTACTTTTTAGGTGTTTTTTAGGTACCGTAGTCAAAAATTAGGTGCTCTGTAACTTACATCGCAACTCAATACTCAAAGTTGCGTTGCTAGCATTATGTAATGCCAGCAACGCAATGAAAATAATAATGAAATAATGAATGTTAAGGAATCACTATTTGGTGCTTATTAAGTGCTGAATGGTGAGGATCGTGAAATTTTCTAATTAATAAACAAAAGTTTCCAATTTCGCTAAACAACAGATCTAAAAATTAGTTCTCTCGAAAACGAGGACGAATGCTCAATCAGGTATCAACTAAGCGTGGTAATAAAGTGCTAATTAGATGCTTGCAACAAATTAAGATGAAAACGAAAAAAAAAATTCGGGAGACCTGATTTGAGAAAATAATTAACAATATACAATAAAGTCTTGAAATGCTCGTAAAATCATACATAGACAATCAAAATATAGTGCTAATATAGTGCCTCACTAGATATTCATAGTAAACCTAGATTCTATAATGCCTATGAGGCTCATGGACCTGAAAACCACCATGACTGATGTACTGAAAACCGCTATGCCTGATGGACTGAGTTCTTACAGTACGTTTCTCAATAAATAAGGACAAGAGAATAGAGTGCTAATTAGGTGCTCATTATTTATAGTAAACCTAGATTCCATAATGTCTATGAGGCTTATCGATCTGAAAACCACTATGACTGATGGACTGAGTTCTTACAGTATGTTCCTCAATAAATAAGGGCATGAGAATGAAGTGCTAATTTTTTTCTGCTTTTTCACGGTCGTTTTCATCTTAATTTCTTGCAAGCACCTAATTAGTACTTCATTACCACGCTTAGTTTATATCTGATTGAGCATTCGTCTTTATTTTCAAGAGACCTGATTTTTAGATCTGTTGTTTAGCGAAATTGAAAGCTTTTGTTTATTAATTAGAAAATTTCACGATCCTCACCGTTTAGCACTTAATAAGCACCTAATAGTGTTTCCTCAACATTCATTATTTCATTATTATTTTCATTGCGTTGCTAGCATTACATAATGCTAGCAACGCAACTTTGAGTATTGAGTTGCGGTGTAAGCTACAGAGCACCTAATTTTTGACTTCGGTACCTAAAAAACACCTAAAAAGTACCTAATTTTTGCATTTTGTAAATGCGATTTCCGTACTTTGCGTCGCTGGCGTAATAGAGCTGGTCGATCGTACCGTCTTTGGCACACCGTGAGTTATTATGTATTCAACCACCACGGTTTTGACCCAATATATCATGTTAGATTTCAGCCCCCATTTATTTCCATAAGTGCGTCTGACCAACAGTACTACTTTTCACTCTTTCTCGAGAGTGGTTTCAGGTCAGCCTGGAGTACTACGTCACTCCCAGATATTTGACCTCCTCCGACAGATCTCTTCATCTCTTAGTGATGCTAATATTGTCAATTTCGTTGGGCTTATTTACATCCATTCTTTCTTGGTCCATCTTATTATGATATTTAGGACCTGCTGCATGCATTTCTCCACTATATTATTGTATTTTCGCTGGATTAGGGCATAACCTGGCACTTTGTATTCATTATGGCCCAGAAGGCGTAGTAAGTCGTCAATTACAGGTTCCATAACAGGGATAATATCCGTGCAAACTCTGCCACTAATGTTTCTCCCATAATGGTCATGTATCTTCCTCTAAGCATACAGTTTATCCACCTGTATCATCGATACAGGTGGATAAACTGTATCGATGATACAGGAATCATCACTTCACTCCGGAATCAAAACGATCGTCATCTGATTAGAGAGCAACTTGTGAAGCTTGTCCAAAGCGCCCGAAAGCACAACAATCGGCAAGAAAGGTTATGGCCTCGGCATTTTGGGATGTGCGTGGTGTAATATTCATCGACTATCTTGAGAAGGGAAATAAACAGTAACTATTATATAGCGTTATTGGGGCACTTGGAGGCCGCAATTGCAAACGACCGCATATGACAAAATGAAATTGTTTCATCAAGACAACGCCCCGTGTCACAAGTCAATCAAAACAATGGCAAAACTACATGAATTGAACTTCGAATTGCTCCCACATCCACCGTATTCGCCAGATTTGTTACTAGATAAGCCCAAAAAAGCTGTTGTAGAGAGAGAGAGAGAGAAATAATACTTTATTGTCATGAACTTTGTAGACAAAACAGTCACAGTTATGAAAACTAATAACATAGTCCTTAATTGTATAAACACATAGTGAAACATGTGTTGTGGTTTTGTTAATTATTGAGTGAAAATCTCACTGTAAGATGTGAAATATTCTTATGAGTGATGTTAATTTACTGGAAAAACTTTGTGCTTTTGCTAACTTGGGTTCAAGCATATCTTGTAGAAAAAATTTGAAATATTCAAATAATTTTTTTGTCTAGGGCATCAAGTTGGTATATCTGATTTTGAACAGAGTTCCAGTCGTTCTGAAGAAGATTATACTGTTATGATAAAAATTGTTGTAAACACAAAAGATGAAATAAATATTATCAATTGAAATTTTTTTTATGTTATTTTACATACAAGACTTATTGAAGTTACTGTTGATTCGTCTAATTCACCAAGAAAGGAATCATAAATTATTGAATTGTCTACAAGGTATTTTGAATTTTAAATGATATATTGAGGTTGAATATCAGTTTACTTCAGGATTCTGAGAGAAGTAGAAGAAGTTGAAAACCAAAAAGGATATTTTCTGAATGAAAGTCCAAAACATATTTTTTGTATAAAACTCTACTAAACAGGAGTGATATCTAATTAAAGTATCATTCTTAGAGTTGATTTTGTAATTTACCTTTTGGAATTATTTTAAAAAATGAAGTGACTTCAGATCCTGATGATCATCAAAATCATCAAAATTTAGCTTAAAAATAAAAAAAAACAACACTTCTGTATTATTTTTTTCGAAAAGTTTAATATATTACATGGATTATTGCTGATCTTGAAGTGAAGTTATAATGTTGATACTTCAATGTCACAATTGCAATACTGGAATTCGTATGAGGATAATATATTCCATAAAATATTCACATTCATTATCTTAAGTATTGCACCATGAAACAGTAAACAAATCCTTTGATTACTGATGTCATACCTCTTTTCTTCAGTTACTGAATAGAAAACCCAGTAATCCCACCCAAGATGAGAGTGTTGAAGAACAAGGAAAAGTAAAATGTGATAATGAAGACCATACATCTTGGCTACACGTGAGTTTATTCGATGGATAATTTGCATCCTTATGAATTATTACTTTTCAGGAAAAAGAAGTCATAAACAGATCAAATTTAAAGGGACACCAGAAAGAAGAAAAGTACCCTAAACCACCTTGGAAATAACATTCAGATGATTATTGAATTGTAATATAATGAAGAACTTTTATTTATTTTTATTTTGTTAGAGAAAATATATTTTAGTCTAGAATTAAATTATTTTTTATTATATGGTCAGTAATATCTGCTGATTTTGGAAAGTTTTCACACTGTAGTTAGATCCTATCCTTTAGCTGTATTGATATATTTCAAATCATCAAAAGAAAATTCGTAAGATAATGTCAACATATGAAATTGGGTAGAATTTTTTATTTTCCTTGTGGCTTTGATTACAGAACAAACAGTATTTTTTCAGGACTGAATTCAATTTCAGTGAATGTGTTTCATGGGATGTCTTCTGCTTGTTAAAGATGGTCTGTTCAGCAAAAGAGAAGGTGGAAGATCAGTTGTTGAATTACAGTCGTTTTGTTGCATGTCAAACATGTAAGACAGATCTATATCATATCTGGGAAGTTTATCTCTCAAGTATGATACAACATTTTTCCCAAGTGAAGGCTCCCTGCTCATTACAAAACTTGATAAATACCTAGGCACTTTTGACTTCTCAGCACAATGCATGAGTAACGCCCAAGATGTATAATCTGAATCCAAGACATACGTGTTATATACTCCTTCATCTGAAATTAAAGAAAGAAAAATTTAATAACAACTACGTTAATTTTGAATTATAAATTTAGATTTTTGGGAAAGAAAGTTTTTGGCTTTCATCTACTTCATCTTGATGTGTGGGAGTCTTCCAAAGGAAGGAAGGAAGTAATCAATTTTAAAAGAAGTAACTGTATACATAGATGTGTAGATCATGCAAAGAAGTAACTTTCAGACCCAAATCTGGAAGAAAAAGCCGTCCTGAAACAGCTACTTTCATATAAACATTGAATTACACGAAAGAAAAATTCTTTTTTTTTTAGTATATAGTGTAGAAACCCTGTGAATGATATCTGATTTAATTTCATAACGATTGTTCGGAATACAAACTGTTTTAATGAAAGTAGCTGTTTCAGGAAGGCTTTTTCTTTCAGATTTGTGTCTGAAAGTTACTTATTTACACGATCTACACACCTATGTATATAGTGTATTCTTTTAAAATTGATTACTTCCTTCGTTTGTAAGATTCCCACATTTTGTCTATATCAAGATGAAATAGTAGAAAGCCAAAAACTTTGTTTCCCAAAAATTAGTCACTCCTAAAAATATAACCCTTTCAAATTAAAATTTGGATTTGTTTTCATTTTTTTTCATTATAACTTTTTTCATCAACGAGGTCCGGGTATTAACTAACGAGACTACGCGCCTAGAAGGCGCCCTGGAAGGGTGGGGAAAAACGAGTAGTGCGTTGGGTATCTGGAATTCGTCTCTATTCACGTACCAAAACACGTTTTCGTCACTATTATATGTGTGATTTATGACTTGTTTACTTTATGGTAATTCATGATCACCTAAATGAAATGAATAAAAACGCTTTTGTCTAAATACCACTGGTAGATTTTATTTATACGACCGGTTTCAGGGTTGACCAGTTTTATACTTGATAATGGGGTCAAACCCGAAACCGGTCATATATGGTATTTAGACGAAAGTATTTTTATTGATTTCATTTAAGTGGTCACTATTATAGTATTTGTGCAGTAGTAGTTTGAAACGAACGTGTTTTTTTTTCTCGAGCCAAAAACCATGTGTGACGAAAAACAGAAGCAACGTATCAATCTCAAATTTCTCGTTGAATTGAAAATAACTCTGAGTGGGTGCTATAAATTGTTGCATGAGGCCTATGGGGACAATTCTTTATCTCGTGCGCGTGTTTTTGAGTGGTTTAAGCGCTTTAGTGGGGGCAGAGAGAGCAAGGATGTTTAAATCAAAATTCAAGGCAATTTTAATAGTTTTTTTTTTCGACATTAACGCTATCGGGATGACTGAATGAGTTCCAGAGGGTCAGACTGTCAACCACACTTACCATTTGCTAGTTTTGGCAACACTGCGAGAACGAGTTCGTAAGAAAAGGCCCAAGTTGTGGAAGAACAACTCGTGGATTTTGCACCAGGACAATGCACCTGCCCATAACGTGCTATCTGTGAAGCGGCATTTGATCAATAAACGCACTCCAGTAATCGAACACGCGCCGTACTCGCCAGATTTGGCAACGTGTGGTTTTTTTTGTTTCCGAAGATAAAATCTGCTTTGAAAGGGACCCGATTTGAATAGATGGAAGCGGTAAAGAATAAAAAGACATCTCCTAAATGCCCTCACCAAAGAAGACTTCCAGCACTGCTTTGATAAATAGAAAAAACGAGGTGTGGCGAGGGGAGGAAAGTATATTGCCAAACCTTGTAGTTTCGTTACGTTATTGAAAAGATATGTGATAAAAAAATTAATTATAACGTTTATCGTTTAGTTTCGTTACATTATTGAAAAGTTATATGATGAAAAAAAGATATTTTATTACTTTTGTATCTGTGCTCCAAGAAATCTCAATTCAAATATGGAGTTAGCAACCGAATATTTTCAAAAGTGATACTTGCATTGCTCAGTGGGTCTGGACCAAATCTATGTAGGTTAGTCAAATCTATCTATGACTTTTGGTTTGATTGTAATTTGTATAATACTGAATGATATCATAAATTCATGGAAGACCAAAGAAATCCGAATTACAAAAACGCAAGGAAACGAATCAAAGAAACAATAAGTCTTGTTGATTCATTTTGACCAATTTTTCAAGTAGCTGTGTGCTAACATTCAGTTTTATCTACAAACATCAATCACCAGTAGGTATATATTATGGACGACTTAGCTGCCCAAAAAAATTCTTCAGGAAATGCAAAAGAATAAAGAATAATCGCAAGTGACCAGGAACAAAACTGTTTTTAGTAAAAAGAAAATAATCAATTACTGTGGAGTTACTTAAGAAAAAGGTCAAATTGTATAATATTATTATCTTTGTGTTGGAAAAGTAACCTGAGGATATTATAATAACTGAGCTAAATCAGTTACTAAAAACTGAAATACAAAAACACCATCACAACGTTTATTGCTTGGGTAACAAAAACAATTCTCATAAAACTTGAATTGAGTTTTAACGTTTCTGAATCATTTTATTATTACCAGAAGAACGACATAGATTTTATACCTGAAGCATAAAAACAGGGTATTACTATATGTAAGTTCATTTTGAAAACATTGCAGTGCAAATATATTTGGTTTTTCAATTTCTCATTCTACCTTGGGATTGATTAGTAAATACGTCAGCAGATGTATTGAAATATTAGTTTTTCTAAGATATATAATGTGTTTATATAAGGGACAGTTTTGAGTATTTTTTCATTTAAAAAAATTCATTACTTTCTTTAACTTCAAATAAAATCACCTGACTCATTTTGGAATGATGTGTCAGGAATATTATCTTGATATATTAACTGCACTTACAGGTATCTTCAGAATGTGTCCAATGTGCTGGGACTGCAGGGTTAGGAATAACCCATGATATGTTTCCAATGAGTAATTCATTCATGGGATCATCAGTGAAACTATAAGTGAAGTTCATATTGACATTTTCTTGTGTTGGCATGCTGAATTCTGCTCTCATGCATCTATAGGATAAAGCCTCTTCTGAACTAGCGTAGTACTCGATTATGAACCAATTTCCCAACATCTGAAACCATGAACAAATTATTAGGCATGTTACCTTTCAGCTTTAGACTTTTTCAGAAGCGAATCATTCATCATTTCAGACAATGAAGATATGATAAATAATAGTATATTATATACCTAGGGTGAGAAGTGAGCTATTATTTACCGAGCATTTTTATAGCGCCGAGGGATATAATGTGCGAGGTAAATAATGGCTTTCTCAGCCGAGGTATATATAGAATTTTTTTCACTACTAATATTGATATATTAACAATTTTAATTTTGGCATTAGTAATTTTCTAACAATTTGTTGAATATATCGGAATATCAAGTAGAGTGGAGCGTGTTTCTAATCAGACTGGCTTTATTTATGTGAAAATTTGGCATGTGTCAAATTTTAATATGAATCTAGGAAATATCTCATTGCATTTTTGATATATTTCAATGTTCCTCATAAACCTTGAATTCATTTCATTCCTGCACGAAAAGGAAACTTACAAAAAACTGTTGAAAGATACGGGTATCACTATGGAATGAATATGAAACAATCTTCCAAAATCCAATGGTTTCTTTCCAATACTGACTCCAGAGCTTATTTATTCATCAAGTTCGTGTCGTGAAGTAACACTTAAAAACCCCCTTCCGATCTTAGAAGGAGCGTTTAAGAAAAATCCTAAACAAGTTAAACTTGCCTTTGACACGCAAAATAGTTCTTTTCAGAAGTATTCAAAAACATTATCTCTTCTGCGGACGCCATTATCAAGAAAGGAATTCGCTTTTTTATTGCTTATGGAGCTCCGAAAAAAGTAGAATTGATAGACAAGTATGGGTTATTGAATTAAGTGAAAAATATAAATAACAGTGAAATAGTTTAGTTGTCTTGTCTGCCTCTACTTATCAACACTTGTTTCAAATGGTAATAAGCTGAATCATGAAGGCGGGATGTAAATTGATGAATCATAGTTTGGAGCCAATACAGACTGTACTTCCACCTGTTCCAGGCAAACTGTTGAATACAATTGATTGCGAGAAAGGCTGCACGAACAATTTTAGGTGCAAAAAAGTTGGATTTTTTGTTTGCCAGTATGCATCCATTGCCAAAACCACAGATGCAACAGATGAAAATTCCTGCGAAATGGAAGAAGATATAACTGACGTATCCTTTTCTTAGAACAATCCACATAAATAGTGTGAGAAAAATTTGTCTGTTACTTCCTGATGAATCAAGAATAACATCTATTTCATATTTTTTTTCGGAAGAGTTGATGGTCTATTGGCAACATTGCTTTTGAATGAATGTATCATATTTTAGGGTTTTCAGAAGATGTTGAGGCGAATATACCCAATAACTTTCAAGAAAAATTATTCCCCACATATTTCATTACTATACGTCAATTATTATCACATTTGAAACAAATTGATTGTGAAAATGAAAGCATAGAAGGGCCACTAATATTAATAGGAATCTGTCAGATGCGAAAATACCTGAAAGAGCTTGCGATGGCAGAAAGAAGATCTTGCAGAGGACGAAACCTCTGTTTCATGTACTTTGAAAATTCTAAGATTAGGGTGAAAAGCTGTGGTTGTTTGCTTTTCATAATTTTTTGAGGGGGGAAACTGGCATATAAGCTGAGCAGTCATTAGGGAAGAGGAAAAATATTTTGAACACACTAGGTCTAATAAGTCGTTGTGTAACATCTTCCCGAGGTTTGTGTAGCTTTATTTGGATAACAAAAGGAATTAAGTTTTAACATTTCTAAATCATTTTATTATTATCAGGAGAACGACATAGATTTTATACCTAAAGCATGAAAACAGGGTATTCCTGATGAATATATATTAGTTCTTCTAATATATATATAATGTGTTTATATAAGGGACAGTTTTGAGTATTTTTTCATTAAAAAAAAATCATTACTTTCTTTAACTTCAAATAAATTCACCTGAGTCATTTTGAAATGATGTGTCAGGAATATTATCTTGATATATTAACTACACTTACATGTATCTTCAGAATGTGTCCAATGTGCTGGGACTGCAGGGTTAGGAATGACCCATGATATGTTTCCAATGAGTAATTCATTCATGGGATCATCAGTGAAACTATAAGTGAAGTTCATATTGACATTTTCTTCTGTTGGCATGCTGAATTCTGCTCTCATGCATCTATAGGATAAAGCCTCTTCTGAACTAGCGTAGTACTCGATTATGAACCAATTTCCCAACATCTGAAATCATGAACAAATTAGTAGGCATGTGACCTTCCAGCTTTAGATTTTTTCAGAAGCGAATCATTCATCATTTCAGACAATGAAGATATGATAAATAAAATATATTTATCATAACATGGAATGGGTCTCTGTAAACACTCCATTGCCATCCCAGTGGAGCAACATCAGAAGGGGCTATCATTTATATCTTTATGAGTCGTTGATTTCTGGGTAGGTATTGCAAAAACATCAAGATTTTATTTAACTAGTCATACTTAAAATAATTTGCTGATACCTAGGTATAATCCAAGTAAACGATATTGTGCACATTTAAAGTTGGCGACACTCTCAAAGGCAAAAAAAAACCAATATATATTGGATAATTTTTACTAATCGAGTTTTATGATTGGCTGAATAGTCATAAAATTAAATTTGAGGTCATGTTACGGAGACGAATAGAAATCGGAGATGATTATCGCCATCGTGTCATCAATATTCAGTTCAGGAACTGATCGCGATTTAAGTGTTGAAATTCGATATTGGTGCAGTTATAATTACTTAAAATTATTGTTATCTGTTTAAAATGTGGCGTTCTTGGACAAGTACTAATAGTAATAAGGAGTGTGATAACAACGCAGACTTTTTCCAGTCTGTGATTCCAATAGCGAGGGTGAACAATGCGAAAAAGAGATACAAGTGATTAAGATTCGGATACATTTGAATTTTGAAATACAGAGAGTATGTTTCAATGTATATAAGAATCTACATCTCAAGTTTGATTTCGATCGAAACAAACTATTACAAGCAACATCAGCTTTGACCGAAATTCCTTTCTCAATACGTAAAATAGTCAAAAACAAACTTTATGAACGCAATGTGATACAGGATCACCAAAACCTTTAGATGTTCAAGTAATAAAATCATTGAAAAAACAATATACGACTGTTACAAGAGCAATGAGATTCCTATAACTGAAATAATAAGGAAGAAATTAAATACTTCCGGTACCATAACGTGAGCTGCTGTGACAAAACTCTTCAAAATTGTACAAAGAAACTAGGATTTAGATTTGAAATAATAAACAAACGTCAAGCAGTTATGGAAAGCAGAAGAATAGTGGAATTGCATAACAAATACTAAGAACCAATTAGTAAATATAGACAAGAACAACAGCAAATTTTCTATTTGGACTAATCTTGGTATGACACTCGCGACACAGTTACGAAAGGTTGGACTGATGGTTCGAGAATGTGTACGTCTAACATGCCCGAAAACAAAGGAATTCTTTGAAATTATGTGGAAAAAACTTGAGGACTACAATGATGGCTATCATAAGAACATGGAAGCTAGTATTTTCGACGAATGGTTTGAAAACACATTGATCCCTAATTTGGATGCGAATAATGTAATAGTTCTTGACAACTCTTCCTATCATTCGCAACAGATCATCAAAGTACTGAATAAAAATTCGAGGAAAGATGAAATACAAAGTTTTTTAATGGATAACAATTTGTATTGTTGCAAAGCACCACATTCCAGATAAATGACCAAATGATTTTGAATTTTGTAATAATTTCTTTTGATAAGCTAACCAGAATTCTGACATGTGCATCTCTTGATTTCAACTTCTCAACTCGAAATTGGGTTGGGATAAAATTGAGTGCAGACACACATTCAAATTCGATTGTTTATGTTCAATTTTTCGTGAGAAACACTGGAAAATGCCTCTCTTGAGAAAACTATCAGTGACATCAGTAATCTTTCAAGTGCAAAAATGTGTTGGGTTTCACAAGGGAAAAGACATAGAAAATGATACACAGGGTGTAACATGAGTACATTAAAATATTCACGTGACGTAATTCTAAGACAATTTAAAAAAAATCTATATAAAATTATTTTCGGAAATGCTTCGTTTCGTAGATACACGGTGTCAAAATTGATTTTTTTGTTCGTTTTTTAAAAATAACTTTCACAAAAAAATAAGTTATTTGCACGAAATTCGGTACCCGGGGTTTTTTGACGTGGGAAATCATAATTTCGTATTAATTTTCATGTAATATCTACAGGGAGCTGCGTACGCTGTTATTATTTATTTCAAATTGCCCTATTTTTTTGTCAGTTAACTTTTGGTACTTTTCATGACGAAACCTAATTCCTACACCTTTTCCAAGTGAAGAAGGTACACTTTTCAAACAACGCTGGAGGTGACCGTTTTCGAGATATTTATAATTTTCTATATTGATGCATATTACTTAGCTCCTAGGGCGCTACGTGAAGTTGCTAAGAACATTACAAAAACTAAGTGTGTTTATCGAAAAATCGTTCATTTTCTTGATACAAATTGTTGAAATTTTTCAAAACATGGTTGGTTGATGATTTTGACGAGATCCACCAGTTACTTAGTTTCTGTAATATTCTCAGCAACTTCACTCAGCGCCTTAGGAGCTAAGTAATATGCATCGATGTAGAAAATTGTGAATAGGTATTTCGAAAACGATAACCTCCTGCGTTGTTGAGGAAGTGCACTTTTTTCACTTGGAGAAGGTGTAGGAAATAGGTTTTTTCATGCAAAGTATCACAAGTATACTATCAAAAATGGCAATTTGAAATAAATAATGACAGCGTACGCAGCGCTCTCTAGATGTTACATGATAATTTATACGAAATGATGATTTCCCAAAAAACCCCGGGTACCAAATTTGGCAAAAGTCGTTAAAAAAAAACGAACAAAAATATTCAACTCAAACATCCTGTATCTCCGAAACGAAGCATTTCCGGACACAAGTTCATATCGATTTGTTTTCTGGCAAGA